AMCACAATAAACTCTTCCATCCATCCACCAGCAAGTTATGAGGAGCAGGCAGATGCAGAAATAAAGAAGCCCCAGAGCTCAACTCTTCCAAAAATTTGATTTTTAACATCAAAGAAGTGATGCAGCCAGAACACACCCACCTTTCCTTCCAGCAGGAACCTGGCAAAGAGTTTGTAACGATCAATTCCTTCAGGGTAATCGACTTCCACAGCAGGGAGCTGCCACCCTACACGGTCTGGAAACAAAAATCACACCAGGATCAGAGCGATGTGATAGCACAGGTGCCAAGGGACACGGGGAGGACACTGCCACCAGCATCCAGCCTTCACAGGGTGAGCAAGGAGCTCCACAAAACACCCATTTCAATGGGAAAATACTGATATTTGAATGCTACAAACCCCAGGGAGATGCTCAAACCACTGCTGAGCTCTCTGCACAGCCCAGGCAGAGCCTGACCTTGCTGGGGCTGTGACAATATTGTGAAAGCAGCACCACAGGAGCCACAGAGCACAGAATTTAAACACTCACAGAAGACACTGGGCCTGTGACAGCGAACTCGGCCCCTCTGAGGGCAGTAGGATGGAGGAGGGTTTTCCAGAGGCTTCCCAAAGTGGCAGTAGGGTGGCAGCAGGGCAGGAATCCACTCGGGTTCCACTGCAGACACACCTGAGCAGGGCAAACACAACAGAGAGCAGTTTGCTGTAAGGGCCACGACTCACTGTGGGCAGCCCYACAGGCACAGGGCACGGGCAGGGGCTCATCTCCACAGATTTGGGTTTCATTTGTCAAATCAACCTTTTCATGGGGTAAAAAACCAGTTGAGAGACCAGCAGAGCTGGGGCAAAGCAGCCATTTCAGCAGCTGAGCTTTGCTCCAGCCATTCTGCCAGACAAATAAAAAAAACCAGGACAATTCACCTCCTGATCCAGASCTAGAAAGCCTTAAGGATCCAAATCCCAGGAGCCACAGCCTGTGAGGAGAGCACTCAGCTGAGGCATTTCTGAGCTCCTCACCAGGGCTGCAGCCCAAGCTGGCCCACAGCACTCACCTTTCATGTAGAGCTTTGTAGTCTCAACAATTTCTTGGTACACCACAAACTCTGGGAGCTCTTTGAACAGGACTGAGCTGGGGTGGATGAACACTGGGTCCTCCAGGAGGGTAGTCTGCAAGAAGGCACAAAGATTGAAGACAAGTTACTGAAAATTCAATTTTTCATTGCATCTCATGTACAGATGTACATTTATAAAGTCTCCTTAARTGATGGAGGTTTTTAATGACTCCAGCATTTTCTGCTTCACCTTCTCTGGAGACATTAAGCACTTTACACGATGAACTAATGGTATTTCTCAGCTCTTTTAAACCATTTCCTACATGAACACCAGGAAATTGCAACGCTGCAAACTTAAATTTCATAGAGCACCCAGCCAGAAACCTGGGCTTGCACAGGAGCACCTTTGTGCCATGCAGGGGAGGAGGAATCGAGTCCAGTTGAGCTGTTTTACCTTGTAGGCATTTTTCCACTTGTCATCCAGGAGCTCCTCAGCCTGAACCCTGCGGGCAAGGTGGTCCCCCAGCCCTGCCAGCACAATCTGCCTCAGGCAGGTCACCTGAGCTTCTGTTGGGGGCTGCATCTTCGGGTCAACATAGAGCCCGGCGTCCGTGCACACCGAGTTCACTGCGGGGAGAAACAGGGGAGAGGAGACTCAGCAGGACCCCAAACCAGCTCTGTTGGTGCATCATCCCCCAAAACAGAACAATCACAGCAATTCCCCCCAAACCCTGCTGACCTGCTGTGGTCAGCTGTCCTCTCAGGCGCCGGATCTCCAGCATGGCTTTGTAGCGGAGCCCGTTCTCCTCACAGAACTCACGGGTGCACCCAGAGTATTCACAGGCACCCACTGCTCCTGGAGAGGACAGACAGGAGAGGATCAGTGCTCCCAGTGAAACCAGCACTGTCACAGTCACTGTGTGAATTCACAGCTCCCAC